ATTAATTTTTTGTAGCTTCAAGCTTATTTCCTTGTGCTTGATGACATTATGGATAACTCTGTCACACGCCGTGGTCAACCTTGCTGGTTCAGAGTTCCTAAGGTTTTTTTCCTACTGCTAAATTAAGACACATTTAGAGTCTTGTCCTTTTTAACACAATCAGTGTTGTGTCAGGTTGGCATGGTTGCCATCAACGACGGGATTCTACTTCGCAATCACATCCACAGGATTCTTAAAAAGCATTTCCGTGGAAAGCCTTACTATGTTGACCTTGTTGATTTGTTTAATGAGGTAATAATCTCTTTTCCTAGGTAGATCTACACTCTTTTTCCCTCAACTGAAGCAATTGGAAAAGATTAGTCTATTCATTTTGCTGTCTAGGTAGAGTTGCAAACAGCTTGCGGTCAGATGATAGATTTGATCACCACCTTCGAAGGCGAAAAGGATTTGTCCAAGTACTCTTTGCCAATGTGAGTCATGTGTGTGCATGTTTAAATAATTGAAAATTGCGCTGTTTAAACAATGGTTGATGAAATGAAAGGCAGTACCTTTTCTGATTGATGGAATGGTTTTGAACATGTAGTCACCGGCGTATTGTCCAGTACAAAACGGCTTATTACTCATTTTATCTCCCTGTGAGTGTGGATATTTACTCTCCCTCCTCCCTAGTCATACTTGTTTGTGTTCACTTTAAAGAAAATTAATGTTATCCCTTTTAATTTTAGTGCTTCACATTGTCCATTGATGCTAGAATAGGTAATATAGATGTAATGTAACGAGCTGTGTTTGTCTAACTCAGGTTGCTTGTGCACTGCTTATGGCGGGCGAGAATTTGGAAAACCATACTGATGTGAAGAATGTTCTTGTTGACATGGGAATCTACTTCCAAGTTCAGGTAGTTTGCTGCTAAGTATTCATGAGAGCTGTATGATGGGTTAGTGAGTTGATATCCGTCCTTTTTGTGTAGGATGATTATCTGGATTGTTTTGCTGATGCCGAGACGCTTGGCAAGGTTTTTTCTCCTGCAAATACTTGGGTTTTCAGACTGTTTTGAATGTATTAATGTGCTTGCTTGATTCAGCTATATTGGAACGTTTTATAATACAGATAGGAACGGATATAGAAGATTTCAAATGCTCGTGGTTGGTGGTTAAGGCATTGGAACGCTGCAATGAAGAACAAACTAAGATATTATATGTAAGAATTATATACATTTTTTTCAAAAGGTGTGTATCCTGTTTGGAACCTGAAACATGTTTTGGTCTGATATCTTAGGAGAACTATGGTAAAGCTGACCCATCAAACGTTGCTAAAGTGAAGGAACTCTACAAAGAGCTTGATCTTGAGGTTTGAAACTAGTGGAACCTCAGAGATATGATCGAATTACACAATATGATGTGCTCTCTGCTAATTGAATCTGGTTTATCTGAACATTATCTAGGGAGTGTTCATGGAGTACGAGAGCAAAAGCTACGAGAAACTGACGGGAGTGATTGAGGCTCACCAAAGTAAAGCTATCCAAGCAGTGCTAAAATCCTTCTTGGCTAAAATATACAAGAGGCAAAAGTAGTAGAGACATTAGTCTCAGCCCTCAAGATTTCCTGTTATGTCTTTGATTCTTCTTCCTCGTTGGTGATTTGTGTAATTCTTCTTTTAAGTGCTCTGATTTCTCAGGGGGAATAAACCAGCCTCATTCTCATTCTTCTGATGCTATTATTGTATTTGTTTCATGACTCTCTCATCTTCTTTCCAAGATTTATGAATTTGAGATTCTTGTTAATGCTCTCAGTCTGTGACTATATATTATTTGACCAAGAGGCAAATCCATTTGAAAGGTCTATTAGACTGAAGAAAGTTCTCATACCAATACTATCACTATGAGTGAGTGGTGTGAGGATATGAAATTCACTAGTGAACCAAAAAGTACAGGGGTATATTAGTAATATTAAGAAATTGCGGCTCATATTTGGGAGAATGCATAAGTACAGGGACTGAATTTGTAATTTTATTCTCTGAATAGATCTCTGGAACAAGAGCTAGGAAGACAAAACCCTAGTCTGATCGATCCTTGT